AAAAAAAAAAAAAAAAATAGCATAATCTATCAATGATTTACATGATTTTAACTACAAAATAAGAAAAATTAAATCAATATTTCAAACGGAACAAATAATCACATCAAAATTATCATAAAAACTAACCCTTCTCGTTTTATTCACACAATTTTTTGAAAATATCATGAATTTTTTATTTTTATTTTAAATTATCTCTCGATAAATTATTTAATATTAATAACAATCAACAAGAAGCCTTTATAGCTCAGTTGGCAGAGCGTTCGCCTTGTAAGCGAAAGGTCACTAGTTCGATTCTGGTTGGAGGCATTTCCTTTTTGGGTTTTTTACCTAAATTAAGGTTCAATGGTTTAGCCAGTATTTGAAAGACCGTATACTTGTGGTGTTATGGTCGTTTAAAAAGTATATTTTCCTTTTATAGTTTTAAAAATGGTAATTATTTTTACATATAATTAAGTTATCAGTGAGTATTAGTATCTTGTTTTATAAGTAGATATTATTTATTTTAAATAAATTATGTATTAAAATAAAATATTGTTGTGTGTTTTTGGTAAGAGTTATTTTTATTAAAATAAAGAATGAAAGTTTCTATCTATGTTTATAATAAATAAGAATATTACAATGCGCATGAGTTATTGTTTTATAGATAGAGCGAATTAATATAAAATAAAAAAAATTTAAAAAAGTTCATAAATATAAAGCTTGTATGCAAATAAATTTTAAGATCAGAAGAAGATTATTATATAATAATCAAAATAAAATATAATTAACTTGGACAAATAAAATATTTATTATAAAAATAACATTTAACAATTTGGTAAAAAAGGAGGAAGTAAATATTTTAACTTATTTAAACAAAATCTAATTTTTTTTTGAAAGAGAAAAAAGTTAGTCTGCAATTTATGGGTCAGACGGATCATTAGTGCAGAGTATTAAAGTTTCTAAAATATATCGGTTGGGTCCCAACAGAATCGATGAGTTTGAGTTTGATGGACATTATCTAATAATTCCATATCCTAATTGAAATAGAATAGTAGTAATCATAATAATATTATTATTGGCATGAAGATCGTTATTATAATTATTATTATTTAATTATTTAATCCTTTTTTTTTTTCTCCACTTACTTGGGACGATAGTTCTATTGTCCATATATCAGTATTTTGTTTGACACGGGAAGGAGATTTTGATTTTGGAATAATGGCATAATGATGCTGGATAGCCCAACGTAATAAAATGATCGCTTGTGTAGTATTATATTTTGTTGCTATATCTTGTAAACCATTGATTGGAACCGTACTATCGATTAACCTCCCTTCTCCTAAACTCGAATAGGCTTGAATTTGAATATTATTTTGGTGACATAAATCTAAAATATCTGGTTGATGGAGACATGGGTGTAGCTCAAATTGATGTACGTGTGGTATAATAGTACAATGATCTATCAGATGTTGTAAATGTGCTTTTGTGTAATTTGATACGCCTATTTGTTTTATTTTTCCTTCTTTATATAGTTGTTCAAGTGCTTGATAGCTTGCCGTTCGGTTTTCTTGGTTGATGGGGTCTGATAGTTTGGTTTTTGATGTACTATAATGAGTTTTTATATTTATTTTAATCATCAAGTATTCCATAAATTATTTATAAATCTATATATGTTTATGTATTTACCCTGGCCAGTGAATTAAAAATAAGTCTAGATATTCCAAGTCAAATCTTTTTAGAGAATCAATAACAGCTAATAATGATAAAATGATAGTAGTAATAAAAAGTGCATTTAGTAACTTGAGAAAATAGTAAATAATAATAATATATATATTGAATTACCTTGGTAGCATTTTTCATAGCCTTGAAACTGTGGTGCTAAATAATGCAGGTGTTTATAAAAATAAAGAAAAAAAAGAGAGGTAAATAATCATATAGAGTTATACAATAATGATATATGTATATTATCTTTTTTAACCCCTCCCTGTATTTCATCCTTACATAGTTTAGAAGTAATAAAGAGATCTTGTCTTTTAATATTTAGAGACGTGTCAGCGAATATATCCTTTAAAATTTTTCCAAGAGCTTCTTCGTTTTTATACACAATAGCAGAATCTAGTTGATAATAGATTAGTATTAATATCGATTATATATATATATATATATATATAAAAGAATAAATATAATAATATTGTACCAATAAGTCTATAGCCTGAACGAATAGCCTCTATTACAACAGGTTTTAACTCTTCAACAGTTTTCATTCTAAAGGTGCCCACTATTTTTTTTTAGAAAAAAAAGGAAAAATAAATCTACGAATAAAATAGTATATATATATATATATATATATATA